AAGTGGGAGGCACATATGCAAGCTGTTGTAATTCCTACACCGTTCACCTGATTTAGATGTAAATACCCTCAAATTAAAGCTGACAGTCTGCAGTTAAAGCACATCTTGTTCGTTTCATTTGAAATCCATTGTGGTGGTGTATAGAGCCAAAAATGTTAGAATTGTGTCGATGTCCCAATATTTATGGACCTGACTGTATGTAGTTTGTTATACTATGTACTCTGAATTTTTGTATGTATATGTGTGGTTCTCTGTGTGTACGTATTTCAGTCCGTCTGTGGGCTACCTGCAGCCTCCCAGTTCAGATCAGTACCAGATAACTCAGTCCCCTTCCCCCTGCAGTCCTCAGCAGATACAGCAGCAGTATTCAGGTATCTGTATAATTTGGCACAATTTACCTGGTTAGTTAATGTTGCATTTCTCAGTAGTAGTATCAGCATCAAAGCAATTGTGTACAACGTACACTCCCGGATTATGTGGCTAATACAAGTAATTATATATATTGGTTATTTTAAAATTTCTCTGGATATAATATTTGGTTTATCTGCTTTTATTTATAAAGCCAACTCTAGATGCAGTTTTTCTGTTTTATAAGTAGCTATGCACTGGTGATTTAAAGATAAGTTTTTAAAACCCTAAAATATTTTGGCATTTACATACCCAAGACCTTGATAAACAAATTCCAGTAACCAAATCAATTCTTCCTCATCGGATAAAGAGTGTTCTTACAAGATTTGTGTACACAGTGAGAACAACTGTTTACAATTTGGGGCTGTTTAAATGTACATGACCCTGCCCTACTTACTCCATATTACTATAACTGAGTGTGAGCTGAAAACAAAACCTGAAGAAAAATTTTAAATCACTAAATGTGAAACTGATGGTTACACAAATCAGATCAGGTACATCAGCCAAAGTTCCACAATTTACAGGCTAGACCCTAAATGGTTAAATCTGCTCATCGTTGGTTGCTGGACAAAGTGTCAGCTTTGTTGGACATATCAGACAGAACATGAAGGATAGACTGTCCTATTGCAAAACATTTACTTCATCATACTGAGCCTGAGTCTTAAACATACATAAACACACAGTCAGCCTCCAACTCGAAATATGATAGCAAGTGTCAATTTATATGTAACACAATTATCATCATTTGTTCCATTTGTCATCTGCATCATGTTAAAGCACCTGTTTCTTGCAGATGATAAGTAAAGATTGTGTAGCTGAAAATGTCAGTGAAGAAAGTGCCAACAGATATCAGTACCCATTAGCTACTCAGCAATTCTCCAGGCTTTACACATGCTTAAAAGTACATAGGAGATACCTAAACTGATGTCATAACAATATAGCACCCTGTACTGAACTGAATTTTTGTGTGTTATTCAAATTAAATAGTTACTGCCGACTTGAAACTTATATCTAAATATCTAAAACAGTATTCCAGCTTTGAAGCCAGTGACTGATGGCTCAACATAAATATTTACTGCAAACTTGTGCTGTGTTGTAAACTTATTGAACCTGGTACAGCACCTACTGACCTTATAAGGTCAAAGAAGTAATAGTGATCATTGCCATGATCTTTGCCACAAATAGATATTCTTACCTTTCACCCCCTTTCATCTAGTTTAGTCAGGCTTCTGAGATCAGGGATGTGCTTACCCATACTTCCATGAGGCAGTAGTTAGTGTCAGTTGTGCTTATACCACTACCTAAATGAACCGTGACCGGTTTTTTTTTTTTTTTTTTTTTTTTTAATATACACTGTTAACATAATTTTGT